ATCGGGGAATGTAAATATGCTTTGATAAGTTGTGAAATAAGTATGGTCTATGGTGGTGGCATGTGGGGTGAACTTTGCGGTCAGATAAGAGGTAAACGACTTGGACAAATTATTTTTATCAACCAGAAAATGTATCCGACTTACTTTTTTTTTTTTTTCAAAAACCAATCCAGGCGGCATTTGTGCTATGGTCTCTAAACATTAACTCTCTGTTTAAGTAAAGTTAAAGTAAATAAAAAATGCAATGTTTTATTCAAAATATTTACCATTTTTTCAATACATTTTTGCCAACTAGCTACTGTTAGACGTTTTTAGCTACTAACAACGATACGAACATCACTCATGAGATACAGATGTGAAATATTAAATTGTAAAAAATTAATTTAAAAAAAATTAAATTTTTGCTCCTCCAGCAAACACTGAACAATTGAAGTCTTTAAATCGACGGTTTAAACAATTAAATTATTTTAAAATTCTAAAGTATTCCATATAGCAAAAAAAAATTAAAAAAGTCGACACCCTCCTGCCCAGAAATAAGTAAAACCCTGATATAATAGAACAACAGTCTTTCGGACTAATACTCTTTTAAAAAAAAGGGTAATGTTTTGTACCCACTGTCAGGTTTGCTCAGGAAAGATGGTGTATAACATGATATTTGAAGGCGTAGACAGACTCGGGCACTGGAGCCTCCCCCATTAGCCTTTATCGCGCCATGATTTATTAACAGACTTAACAATAATCTCTTACCTAATGGGCCCAGCTTATGAGATCTTGAGCTCTATTACGCTGCTAGGCACACACGAGAAGTGCCCGCCGAGGAATCCGAGATTACCTCCAGTTTATGAGTCACACTAATTAACATGAGTCGTCTGGGGAGTGACTCCTTCCGAGATGACGCTCATGCCGACCCGAATTCCACGGACCGTCTTACTAATTGTTATCGAAGATTACACTTAACAAATGTGTAACTTTATCCTTTTACTTTGACCTGTTTGGGATTAAGGAAAAAAGAAAATTCAGCAGGTTAATGTTTGAGTCAAAGTTTTGTTCTTTGTACTATAACTCGGCTTTCCGCATTCATGTAACGTGTAAAGTATAATAATCAACTCAAATGAAAATAATAATAATTATTATTATAATAATTATTATAAACTCATAATCAAATAATTGTGAGATGTCTCCTTGATCTCTGCTGAGTGATGGACAAAAAGAACCGTTTCACAATCTTCAGCCTAGGTCTGTGATTTTCATTCAGGCGGGTCTGTATGTCATGTGAAATGGCGAAACGTTTCTGACAGCCGGAAACTACGAGGATGGGCAAACAACTTGAACCATCGGACAATACAATTCATCTATACAGAACCATACTTCTACATAATTTTGCATGAAAATCAATGAGCCTGTAATGATGAGTCTGGCGGTTAGACTATTATTCCATAGGTAAACTCACACTCTAGGCCGACATGTGTCAAGTAAATTTAATAAAAAATTAGAAGGACTAAGTCGAATAGCACCTGAAACATAGTAAACCTTAATTTTACATTTTTTATGGATACTATACCTCGTACCCCCATAAGTCTATCAAAGGATTACTTGTTTCAAAGGATTATTTTTACTTCATGCGACTTTCCCTCTACTAAATTATCAGTTTATAAGTCAATTAAATTTCAAAAAGTTTCAGAATTTGTTCACACATGCGCCCAACATTAATTGTCTCTTAATGGACGTCCGTTTAAAATCTTTTTTACATGTTACACATTTTTATAAATCCCAGGTCATATATCTATTACGTACAACAGGTTTTAATCCTTTTTTATTATGCTACGGAATTGTGGCAGACATCTCTCTCCGCCCATACAAAGAAGTCTGAAGTTCAACTACAGCCTGATTGGATCCGAGGTGCTGGTGATTCGCAATGTATAGTCTCGCCTATCATCATAACAAATTAGTGGGTGCTTCTCAGGGTAGCATCCTTAGGCCTTTCTTATTAACTATATACTACCGAGATTCCTTCTTTAATTAGTTATTTTTAGCTGCAGTCATCATAAATGGGAACTCCTTTTATACCAAAGACGATTAATAGAATTGCCGGTAATTCAAGGCAAAAGCAAATGAAATTTCATTTGGAAGGTACCTATCTAAATGGGTGAATTTTTACAGATAAAGTAGATGAACACAGGCGACGAAGATCTCCTTGGATTCGTAGGAAATTAACGAAGGGTTTTTAGAACCTGACAAGACCATTTTCATAAATGAGACATAGATGGGTTTTTTAGTAGACTTAGAATGGCGACAAAAATTTCTCCGACATATTCGACCAACGTATGTGATGCTTACCAAATCATTAAATTTTTTTTTAATATATTTTTTTTTGCTTTGTTTTGGAACATTCAGCAAGACTACGGACCTATGAAATATCAAATTCCAATTTTTTACATGACTAGAAATTCGGAAGCATAAAGCAATAAATAAATAACAAGTAACGAGAACAATAAATATTGGTCAACCACAATAAGTACTAAAAATCAAAAATTCGGTACGAAAACAACAACAAAGGATAAATAAGGACAAACAACAATGAACAAATAAAAGTGCAGACCTACCAAATAACATTGACAAAACCAAAGATTTGAAGACACAAACCAATAAATAAATAACTAATATTATATAAATAATAAATCATTAAATTTAGTCTCACAAATCAAAACAAATATTACGATATTGTGTAAATACATTTAACTGTCCCTGTATTTCCCGATTATACCCTTTTCTAAACAATTAAATTTTTATTTATATATTAATATATATTTTATTTGTATACTAAATATTTAGGTATAATTTTTGATAATAAATTTAACTTTAAGTTTCATATTGATGCTTTGGTAAAAAGTTTAGAAAATAATTATATAAATTTAAAATTTTAAGAAATATTCTTCAGCCAGATTTAATGAGGTATGTTTATTTCGTATTAGCACATTCCTTGATAAAAAATGTGGCTAGTTTGGTGTGGTACCACACATTCTACAATTTTTCAATAATTATGGCACATAATAAAAATATAAATAAATATAAAAGGTACAAAGCAAAACAATTCTCCATTGATTTTAAAGTGTTAAAAGTCAAACAATAATAATTATTATTGATTTTTTGTAAACATTTATTATTAAAAAAGATATTTTTAAAAGTAATACATTAATAAATTAATTATTTAAAAAATACATAAAATGACAATAGTCAAATAAATTAAATGATTATTCAGAAATCGTGAGATGCGGTCTGGTGTGATGTAGGTTTCAGAAAAATGTTTTCTTTATCGTACCAACGTTTCGATCTTTATTGAGATCATCTTCAGGACTTGTATGTTGTGTTGAGAGTGCCGACAACACGCAAGAATGGCACAATTACCCAGAAAATAAACACTTTGAGCCCTGAAAATGATCTCAATAAAGTTCGAAACGTTGGCACGACAAAGAAAATTTTTTTCTGAAACCTACATCACACCCGACCGCAGCTCACGATTTCTGAATAACCATCGACTAAATGTAATGTATACTGCTACCACTAATTGTCTAAATCTGTTTTTTGTTAATTTTTGTAATGTATAAAACTTGTGAGCTCACTATTCAAGCACAAGTTTTACTTACTGAGAACAGGCTGTTAATTTTACTTTTTTCATAATAATGCATTCAGGTGCGGCAAATAAATTCATTTTTGTCTTTGTCTTTATGGTTGAACTAGGATCAGTAGGTGGTCCCCTATGGATGGTGCAACGCTCTCTTTTCTGAACTAGGTTCAAATTATGACCGACGTTTCTGTGAACCCGGATTTAGTCGTGACTAGTACAACGGGCCCTAAATATTTTCGTCAATTATATTTTATATTTGCTTTAGCCGTGACAAAAATATATTTCAATACTGATTTTCGACATTTGCCAGGGGGCAAATCTATTTAATCCATCCATCTGATGGTGATGCAGAGGACGGTCGGAACGATCAAACTACAGATTGTGTTACAATAAAACTGTACTTTTTTTAAAATATTAGTTCGTATCATCATAACATAATACGTTTCTGTGGGAAAGTAGGATTTATTGTTTCTTACGACGCTGGCGGGAGGAACAGTTGTAATTTCCAATTACTCGGCGGACTAATAATTATTTAAATTCCGTTCCTAAGTCGCCATCACGTTCGTCCGGACACGAAATACATTAAAAGGAATTAATACCGGGCGCGTGGGTGTTGCTTTATAAGATATTAAAACATTAAATGATCTCCGAGATACGCTATTAGCAGAGGCCTTCCTTCTTCAACTTTCTATCTGGCTCGGTTATTAATTTAATAAATTAAGTCGGGGCCGAGGATGGGCGGTGCCGCGAGAGGCTGTGTAATGTGGTTGTAACTTGTTTAGATTGATCAGTGCGAGAGCGAGAGAGTCGAGGTTCCCCTGTTGTAGAAGCAAATTAACAGGCTACCGTCTCACTGATCAATCAACTGATAGCCCCTTAACTAACCAATCAATCATCCCTAGTTATTGATACTTAGGCACCGTTCGCCACCTCCTCAGCCCAGGCCCAAAAACCTCGTTCCGGACCAACAACTAACCGTATTCGGATTCAGCACTACTAAGCAACCATGAGTCCAACAAAATTGTGGGGATATGTCAGATTAATTTCAAACTTTTACCCTTAATATTTCAACTCTTTGAATAATTGTAAATATCAAATAATTAGTACGTGAACTTGAAATAGAAAAATATGGAAGTCTTGTCTGTATTTGCCGCATGCCAATGGCACCTCAACGGAGAAGAAAAAATAATCTATTAGGATGATTTATAGGCTTTCTCTCGGTCGATAAATCATCAGAGTTGTGTTTATAGAAAAGGGAAAACAAAGGAGCCAAAGTTAGGAGAGAAATGTGATTGAAAGTAGTACTTACATAACATAATCAGTGATACTCGTGCAAATCCAATGGAGATTAATTTTATTTTTATTTTTGTCCCAGATTCGTCTGCTAGCAGTCCTGAAGTAGAGTGCGACCCTGAAGTGGCGGAAAGGGGGATGGAAGGCGGAATGTCCGGGGTCGGACGGGAGTCGCCGAGCAGCGACCAGGAAGACTCGGCGCCCAAAAGGAAACAGAGGCGCTATCGGACGACGTTCACCTCGTTCCAGCTGGAAGAACTGGAAAAAGCCTTCTCCCGAACTCATTATCCAGACGTATTCACAAGGTATTTTATTATTGCTCTTTTGGGCTTGTTCAGCTCGTATTATTTCAAAAAATACATTATTATAACCTTCTTGTTATCTTGAAGTATTGGCATCATTCATACACAAAAAAAAGCATACTACAGGGTGGGCTACAATGGTACTCTATAATCCGATGGTAACCGATTATCAGTCACCCGAAAACCTATACCCTAAAAATCAAGCATTCGTAAATTATCGATCTCGGAGATAAATGCAGTTATTCATCAACCTTTCGCACTAATATATGCATACTAAGCTAATTACAATTGAAAAGATAGGTCGTCATCTGGGTACTCAATATTCTTCCAATGTCACTCCTCATTCATACCATATACCAGTAACAAATAATAAACGTATGATGAGTTGATGAAAATTGATGCGAGTCGGTGAACTCATACTGAACTGACCATAGGGTCACTTATTGGGCAGTTATTCAGAAATGGATTGTTGCATTTTGTTGAACTCAAATGTTTGAGTAATTCAATAAACCCGTCTGAAGACGGAACCAATATGTGACCGGTTCAGCATGAATTGCCAAGCAGTTAAGTTTATGTGAATGGATATTGCTTCGATGACCTTTATAGGAACTTAACAACTTAACTTTCACCATGTGTTCTGTATTTGTGTTTACAGTGTTCGACCATTATTTGATGATTCAGCGTGGTTTTTTTTTTTTTTTTTTTTTTTAAATTGGAAGGTTCAAAAATAAATTTCATATTAGATAATATTTATGAAAGGTATTGGTTGAGATAAAAAAGTCAGTGTCACGAGTGGGATTCGAACCCACGACCTTCGGCTTTATTTATTACCAAGAATCAAATAGGTTACATGACATTTGAAAAATGGCAAAAAGGAGGGGAAATTCGAGAGGTGAGTTTGAGATGGGAAGTTAGTGTCCGAGTGGATCCATGATAACTCAAGCTATAGAGCAGCGGCGTATTTAGCCGAAGGTCGTGGGTTCGAATCCCGCTCGTGACATTGCTTTTTTGTCTCAACCAATTCCTTTCATAAGTATTAATTAATTGAAAAAAGTTAAATAGTCAATCGGACTACGAACTGTAATGGATTTCATACTAGAATTGTTTAAAATGTGTACAAAGATAAATTTGGAAGATTCATTTTTATTATGAACGCAAAACAATGTTAATTATGTAAAATTAATTATTTAAGTCATGTTGCTTTTACTTAACCGTTACTTCGGCCCAGCGTGTTAAAGGTTGCGTGTCGAATGTGCGTTTTGGTAAAAAATGTTATCCCGGTTTACCATAAAATAATTAATCATGTTTAACCAAATAATGAAAAATAGTCACTTTTTCAACGTCCGACCAATATTTTATTCTTGGAGTATTGACGAAGAATTGCGTCCTTGTTACGACACGAAAAATTTTCAGCAAAGTGTATAAAGGTCACATAACATTTATCGCCTTTTTTCCCGCATGTTATTTGTTTTTATATTTTCACACATCATTTTAGTAGTATCACTATTATCATTAAATAGTACAAAAACCGTAAATACAGAATCTTTATATTATAAATGTACCTATGTTTAAGATCATTTTATATATATGTCAAGTTAATTTTTATGGCATAAGGCATGAAGAATCGCATGGCGTATGTGATATGAAAATAGAAATCTTTTCCCTAGCTAAAGGAAAATCAACATGCATTCTCTTCCCATCGGCAGGAAACTGCTTTTTCTATTCACATTTATGTTTTCCATAATAATACAATAAAGCGGACGGCTGTAATTTCACAATGGCCAGTCTGGACATGTCGACGGCCGTCATTTATCTTCGTTCTATTAAAGCTTCCTTTCAGTACTGAAACTGATTTTTTTTAGATATTTCTACGTTTTCTACAGAGTGATGAATTTGGTCGTTCATTTATAGTCTAAATATCCTCGCTGGTTTGCTCTGTCACGAGAAGATAGGCAGACAAAAATGTTCATAAAAGTAACAGAAAACGAAACTGTTTTTCATACTTTACCGCAATTAAGTAATTATTGCAAAGCCTCCATATGAAAATTAGTAAATTTTTATTACCGGGTAGCTTTATTTTGTAATTATGTATCCATCATCTCATGAGCAAGGGATAATTAAAATTAAGTTCTCATTTGCACTTCATTTGGCCAGAGTTGTTTAAACCAAATGAGGTATGCTAAAATCGTCTCCCTGCGAAAAAGCAACATATGTTAGTAAACAATCCCGAAGGAAATAGTTGAGGTAAAAAAAATCAAAATTCTAACGAAGCTGGATTAGACCTGTTAATAGGAGAAATTTGGAAAAAACCTCCAATAAAAGGAATTTTAATATTGATGAATTTTTGGGGCGTCGGTGGCCGCAACGGTTGAGGCGTTGTCACGGCGCTCATAACATTAAAGTAAAGGTTCCGGGTTCGAATCCAGCTGCCCTGCATTCGAGCCCGACATACTTACAAATGGGCTGTTTTTCAAAAACACCGGCACCCCGAGGGTTGATATAACCTCTGCTGTTGCGAACCCTCGTAAAAAAAATAAAAATAATAATCATCACCCAAAAATAATAATATTGATGAATTTATTTAACGCAGCAATAAGACTTAGGTATATCCCTATTTTCTTGAAAATCGCTTTGATAATCGTTATAGAGAAACCATGTAAACCACCACATCCATCTCAATGCCAGCCCATATCAATGCTTCCAGTTACATCAAAAGTTTTTCAAAAAGTTTTGCTAAAAAGGCTGACTCCCTTCATTGAAAAAGTGAACATAATACCAAGCCACCGGTTTAGATTCAGAGCCAAGCACTCAACCTTATATCAGATACAAAGAATCCCTGATATTAAAGGAAAAGCTCTAAAAGATCAAAATATATTAATGCATATATGTTTAACGGCCATAATTGACCACATTAATTATTGATATAAAATATGTTCAGATTTATTCCTAGACTTTTTTTTTGACTGGGGCTTCCGACATCTAGGTCATATCAGCCCCCAACTAAGTCTATATTCTATTTACCCTTTCAAACATTCATACAAATAAATACATTCATACACATAAATACATCCATACAGTACACTCATTCCGTTTGGCCGGTGGAGTACTTGATATTCCTCCACCGACCTATACTTAAACTAATCTAGATTGAGGTCGGTGGGGTACTTTTATAAATATTCCGCCATCGACCCCGAACACTCATACGCTCTCAACGTCCGAGGGGCGATGATGACGTTATATTTCACCCGCACCCCTCTCCATTAACGCTAATAAATACATGCACCCAGGCAAAACATGACATGTTTCCAGTATGTGAGACACATCGAGCAACCTTTCTCTGCATAAGGGGCACCTGCGAGGGCGTTAGCCCAAGAGCAGGTGCCCGTATGTCAACCGCGTATGGCCTATTCTTAATCGCGTAAGGACGATTCCTTGTTTCCGGCTCAGGTTCTCGGGGTGCCACATACGAATCGTGCTCTTGACGCGCAAAAGCCTCTCGGACAACCCGGCCCACTGACGCTGCCATCTTTCTTTTATCATGTTCTTTACTGCTAGCGTGGCGTCAGACGTATTGCATTTGACAAGGTTTGGAACGAAGGTTGAATACAATAAGCTACTAATATTTCGAAAAATAATATGTTGAACTTTTGACCTCCTACCGAAGGAAGGACTGTTCCAAGTTAAACAAGAAGGCGAATACTCTGCTTTGTTCGAAATCAGGCTCATGCACCACAAGGTAGCATCCTAGGTCCAGTGCTGTAATTCCTGAATAAGTTACCTACCACAGATGGAACACAGCCGTCGCAACATTTGCCGAGCACACCTGCACTCTCAGTCGAGAAATATATCCATGAGTACACGGACCGACACTAGTGGCAGTTAACAGCATCGGTGATTGGACAAAAGTCTTGGAAGGTTAAAACAACCTACCGTTTGTAAATTTCACAAATAGAAAATCGTCTTAAACCAATTGTCCTAAAATGTAACGTATATTGAGAGGCAAAAATGTGCCTACCGTTGTTAATATTTTCAATTATCTCTTAGACAGTCCTCTATTGATTATTATTATATCGTAGTCAGCGCATGGTAAGACGATTGAAGAGACAAAGCCATATGAATTAGTTCTGGAAAAAATTATGAGGTGAACTCAAATAGATAAACTATAACACTAATGAGGGGACTAAAGTTTATTTATTACTAATTTGCCTCTGTAAAACTGATAGATCCCATTTGGCTTTTTTTTTAAATATTAACCATTAACACTTATGATGTTTGTTAATCTATGTGGAGTTTCAATCTTCATGGAGGTCATTAGATAGGTGAAGAAAGGAAAAGACTATTGTTAGGTTCACCAAACTTTCGGCAACTTATAGTGCCATCATCAGGGCTTTCCCAAGAGTGCAGAAAACGATTAACATGGTAAAACTATTTATTGTATGCTATGTCATAACAGTCCAACCTGAGGCGACGGTGTTTGTCGCTCTCTCTCTCTCTCTGTCTGTCTGTCTGTCTGTCTCTCTCTCTCTCTCTCTCTCTCTCTCTCTCTCTCTCTCTCTCTATCTCTCTATTTTCCATCTCGCCACTTTCTGTCATTTCTCTCTCTTTTTCTCTCTCTTTCTCTATCTCTCTATTTTCCATCTCGCCACTTTCTGCCATTTCTCTCTCTCTCTCTCTCTCTCTCTCTCTCTCTCTCTCTCTCTCTCTTTCTCTTTCTCTTTCTCTTTCTGTCTCTCTCTCATTAATTTTAATCCTATGAACATAGTCTTTATAAATAGCTATAATTCTAGTCAAAATACTCTGTGATCATAAATGTTACCTACAAGAAATTGCTAGTCAGAACAAAATTGTTTGTTTATTAGCGAGATGACTGTTTTCACCATGTTAAATGTAATTTGCTGGCCATGTGCTTCATAACCTTAAACCCAAGACGTTTTTACAATAGTTTTACCATGTTAATCGTTTTCTGCACTCTTGGGAAAGCCCTGATGATGACTATACGTTGCCGAAAGCTTGGTGAACCCAACAATTAGTCTTTTCCTTTCTTCACCTGTCTAATGACCTCCATGAAGATTGAAACTCCACATACATTATCACTTACCACTTTCCAAGCTATAACATTATCAAAGTAAAAATTGTTTGTTAGAAAGTGAATAAAAAGTGAGAAATAAAGTACTTCATCATACCAACTAAAAGAATGATTTTCTATTATTTTGCACTTTAGAATCATTATTGTTCTATACTTTCTTTTAGTGTAACAATTTTACAAAAAATTCCATAGATCATGTACTGTGTGAAACGTTCTAGCGAAGTCTGGGAGTGATGGGCCAGTAGCGTGATCTACTCCGTCACCCCGGTCAGCCTAGTCTCGCTGCTTTTGTCTGTCAAAGCGATCCGCGACGAACAAGCTATAAATATTTTATGTCCGAAGAAAAAAAAATCAATTGTCTGTTGACGCATAAATTTCCATGCAAATGAAAAAAATTGTGATCGACTTGGAATAAATTAAGACAAGAGAAAATGATATGCATATATATTGCAAATGAACGTTTCCATTTAGCTTCAGGAATTTATCAAACAACGCGTTTTTATATTATTAAATTTTATGATTTACGATCGCTTGACGTGTCGATTAATTGAATTTAGAATTGAGGAAAGCCTTAAAGTTTTAATTTCTTTTAAGTGAGTGGTTTTCGTCACTGTTTCAATTTTTGCATTGTATAAATTCACTTTTTTCCACATCCTACATGTTTTTGTTAAATTTAAACAGTGTTTATAAATCCCAGGCCCTGAAGATGATCTCAATAAAGATCGAAACGTTGGCACGATAAAGAAAATGTTTTTCTGAAACCTACATCACACCAGACCGCATCTCACGATTTCTGAATAATCATCGACTAACGGTCACTAATCACCACACATATTGATCAATATTGAAATTTATCGATGGTCCCCTATGATTCGTGCTACCCAGAATTAAAATAAAATTTAGTTATCGAAATATGTAAACATTTTGCCTGGATGTCCTGTCATAACCGAACACACTTAATAACAATAATATTTTTAGAAAATCGTTTGGATTTCCAAACAGTCGGTTTTGCCACGAGCCCTGGAATTAGCATTAATCTCAAATACATTGTGCCTCTTTTCCGTTTGACGTTTTATGGTGAGAAGTAAAATCCGCACTATTAGAATTTATTATTGGTATAACGGCGAACCTTGTTGTAAAACCTTGTAGGGTCTAGAAAATCGGTGGGAGGAGACGCTGATAGTAAAATTGAATTTTACTATCGGAACAAAGTCGCTGTCTTGGAGTCTTTCCAAATCCACTTGTCACTGTCTCGAACCGAAGCTTATGCTAAATAGATTTGACAAAGACACTATTTTTAGAGCTTATGAATGAGACCTACGAGCCTCGAGGAAATATTTTGGCCAAACGTTAGTAAATTCCAGATTAGTTTTGTCCCGAAATTCACCTCAATGACTTTTTTTAATCTGACGTCGTTCTATATGGATTTTTAAAACACCACAGTCCATCTAAGCGGACTGTCACCGGCTCATTTACATTGGGGGTCTTTTGTTGTCAAACGCTCGCTAGATAGCCATGTGTGAGACGAGTCTGGCTTATCCTGAGCCTTGTTAAGATAACTATTACCCTTCTTTCCTTTCTTCAATATTTGTTTAAGTTTTTATTAATGAAAATTTCCGCTTATCACACTTTGTGAAATGTTATAATTTTTAAAATGTTTGATTTAAATCTAAGTTAACCATTTTATATTATTTTATTACTATAATACTTAAGTCATCATTGAATGGGTTTATCAGACCTGCGTTTCGGAGTTAAAAAAAACTAAACAAATAACTATTGTCACTTTTATTTTATTTATTAAGTCGTTGGTAATACGTCAAAAATTTCTTATGGTCTGTTTGTAAAGTATTTGTTGTACTTAGATATGTTGATTTCTTGTCAAGAAACAGTCTTGTTCTCTATATAATAGGTGATTGGATAATAGACCAAAACTAATACCTAATTATGTACATAATTAAAGACTCGATAACTGGCTATCGAAATGTTCTTGGAAATAATCGGCCATATGTTTACCCCTTGAATCTGATGATGGTTAATGAATACTGATCTAATGACGGAACATGTGTTGCAGGGAGGAGCTGGCGATGAAGATAGGATTAACGGAAGCCAGGATCCAGGTACGTGTACAATGCCACAATCACCGGTCAATAGGATTATTTATTTATGAATGAGCAATCAGTTAGATTCGTATAAGGAAGAACATGTAATCAACAGACTTTGTGCCTTCAGGCGCTGTCTTTACATGAATTTATACGGATGAATTATCTAAAACACACACGTTCACATGCGCTGAGGATATCTGTAACATTATGAAAATTTTGAAAGAAAAAATCAGAGATAAGGGGAATTTGAAAGAAAGGAAATACTCTGACAGATTCTTCGTCTGAATTTCCTTCTAGAATGTCTATCTTCAATACAGTGACGAAAATATCCTCGGGGGTTTTAAAATTTAGACTATCAAACGGGAAGGAATAAAACGGATTCTATTAGAGGCGCAAGGCGGATTCGGAAAAGGCCACTAAACAATTTTTAAAACAACAATTAACTGTTGTTAATTAACAATGAAACATTTTTAACATCTGGTTAGTATGATTAAATTGTAGACGAGACGACAAAAGGGGAAATTAAATTGCTTATTTGTCGATCTAAAATTCGCTTTTGACAGTATGGACCAGTCACTTGTGCTATATAAGCTGAACTGCGTTGGTACCTCCTCTAAATTATTAACTTTGGCAAGTACGAGACATCAAGCCTCTCTTAAATAAAATTGCAACTGGAATGAGCGTGAGGCAAGGGTGAACCTTAAGCCCGTTACTATTCAGTCTCTTTATCAATGGCTCAATTGAGTGTTTAGAGAGCAGGATGTTTTGTAACAAAGTAATGGCTACTGTACACGGATGATCTAGTGATCATTGTAGAAAATGAGCCTTGCAATAACACAAGTCCAAAATCATGGTGGTTCATGAATGAGGGAAATTTAGGAAAAACGACAATTTGAATGGGGGAAAAATTAAAATCACAAATAGATACAAATATTTAGAAGTTTGGCTTTCTCCATAATTAAGTTTCAAATACCATTGTACATAGAAATTGTCCACTATGAAGTCCGCTATCAACACAACTTGAAGCTTATATTTAAAAAATCTCTTAAATTTAAATATATGGTCTTTGACAACGATTTTATGTTACTCTAGCCAGGTGTGGGAAAGAAATGAAAATGAGTAGACAGAAAAAGCGCAGTACTTCTTCCTTAAGCTGGGAACACACTTACCCGATACAACGTTATGGGACGCTACCCGATGCTACCCGACGCAAATCCAAACTCCGATTTGGTCCATACGGTTGCATTACCCCCGTGCACATCTACCCGATGCTACCCGACGCAAATCCAAACTCCGATTTTCCATAAGGTTGCATTACCCCCGATGCCATGCAACGCTACCATCCTCTACGTTCTGCGACCCCCACTGTATAGATTTACGTCGGGTAGCATCGAGTACAGTCAAAGACAAAAGAACGGGACACTCATTTTTTTTAAAAATACATGTATTATTGTTGTTATATTAATTACAACATACTTATTTTTATATAAACCAAATTAACCGAGATGAGTAATGCATTAGTTTTTATAAAAAAAAAAAAAAAAAAAAATTAATGGTTTGGAAGAAAATTGATCAAAACATCAGAATACCATTTTTTGATATAATGAATTTAACTAACTATTTATTAGACGTTTTGCTCATAAAATTTAACTAACAATTTATTTCATGGTTTTGCTCATAAAATTAGACCATTTTCGTAGAGTAGCTTCAGAACAGGACACTCATATTATTTGTAGTTTATTTCAAACTAAGTTTATGTAATTTTGTCATTACATCAATTACAACATTCCTATTTTAATGTAAGCCAATTTATAAGAGATCCAAATTCAAGAGGTTTTATCAAAATTATTTAATTATGATGGTTAGGCAGAAAATTGATCAAAACACCGGAGTAACTTTATTTAAAATAATTAAATTTAACTAACTATTTATTACATGGTTTTGCTCATAAAATTTAACTATCAATTTGTTACATGGTTGTGCTCATAAAATTTAACTAACAATTTATTTCATGGTTTTGCTCATAAAATTTAACTAACAATGTATTTCATGGTTTTGCTCATAAAATTTAACTAACAATTTATTTCATGGTTTTGCTCATAAAATTATACAATTTTCGTCGAGTATCTTCATAACAGGACATTCATATTTTTTATAGTTTATTTCAAACTTTCTGTATGTAATTTTGTCGTTATATTAATTACAACAAAGTATTTTTAATATAAAGCAAATTAAACGAGATCAAAAATTCACAAGTTTTTATAAAAATTATTTAATTATGATGGTTAGGCAGAAAATTTATCAAAACACCGGAGTAACTTTATTTAAAACAATGAAATTTAACTAACTGCTTATTACATGGTTGTGCTCAAAATAATGCATTAAGAACAAAAGAGGCGTTCCGATTGTGATACTGATTTGTGATACACGCTGGGTGACTGTACGTGGCGTGCGCTTGACGTCGCATAGATGTGCACACCCTACCAAAACGCAACAAGGCGTCGAGTAGGGTCGCGTTGCATCGGGTAATTGTGTTCCCGGCTTTAGAAAGGGAGCGCCGCAGGGCAGTGTCTCTGACCACTACTCAGCAAATGTTCCCACTATAACTACTACCCGCCTTGTATATTTTGCTGATGACAGAGCTGTACTACCCTGCGGTTGCTTAGGAAGATCTGCAGAGACATATCACATGTCTAGCAGATTTGTGTAGAGAACGAAAAATGAAGATAAATGAAAACAAATCACCTCTCACAATCTACTACAACAATGTTCCCATCCTCAAAATCGGACTGCGTTCGTTACCATGAGTTCCATCTACACTCACTCACACTTAAAACCGAACCAGCTCGTACTACTGAATCGACAAGACACGCACTCCTCGGGATACTCTTCAAATTTATAAGACGACAATTCAAGCTATCGACGAAAAAGAAACTTACAGTCTATAAAACTACTATAACCGATGTGGGCAAAAGGAATAAAATTATGGGAACCTCTATTAATCCAACGTCCAACATCTCCAACTTTTTCAATCTAAAGTCCTCAGATCCATTATAAATGCTCTGTATTATGATGCTATTCCCACAACGGCCTTAAAATTGCGCAAAAACTTATCAGGTCCACCATAAACACTCCCATCACCCCAATAGTCTTGCATCCTTTCCTGTAAAAAGCATCGCTACAATCCAATACGGTGTCTCAAGAGGAAACGGCCCCGCGACCTCATTATTTGGGCCTCCCACGGCAGATATGTGAATAGTTGTAAATATATCTATTTATTATCAAATAATTGATAGTTGAATCAGAAATTGCAGATTGTCATAAAAACCTTAGGCAAAAATGCTTTTCTCACTCTCGAAACTAGTAGAAGCATTTTATTTTGATACTCAACAAAAATGCAACTTCTGTACATGTGAAAATACTTAAGCTCGGTTCCCAAACGTACTGGCAAAAGAGTCTTTAGAATAAAAGCTTTTTCTGGGTGATTTAAAGAACTTTTTGGAAAACTAGAGAAATAAATGATCAAAACGTTGACTAGATAGTACAAAGCATTGAGGAAGTTGTGAAACATTCTTTTGTAGAACAAAAACCAGAGAATCCAAATGCCATACCCTCTATAAATAACTAAAACAGAGAGGTGACAGCCCGTACCCAAATGATGACAAAACAAACCAGTTTTCTGAAAGTTTAACTTTTAAAACTCGCTGCAAGTTTTTAAACCTGAATTTGAAACCGTGCTGTGATATATTTTCTAACAGAGGCATACAGTTGGTTACAGAAACGAACTGGTCGATTAATTTTATGTCTCCTAGGTTTTTGTTTACTATTTTTTTTTATTATTTATGCTTCAGCGTGAGGCCTAGCAGACGAGCAAAACGTTCATGCTGTATGTGTTATATTATTTTTTTTTAACTTAATTTATTTGATATTTACAACTGCAAATATAGTATTCAGTATGTGCTGAATGGCGTTTGAGTCACTTGTAAGAGAAGTTGCCCAGTGTCGGCACTAACAATACACTCACATTGAAACCTAGTCAATCTTCACTCAATAAGCTCTCGAGGCCACTTTCGCTTCAATCATCTTGGAGGATTTTCGGGTAGGGTTGAAAGTGATTACTGTTGTACTAGCTAGGGTATTTTGAGTGTTCAGTGATTGAGGAAATTTTTTATAGCGGGTTTTTATAAGGTCATCTTTCGTAAGGTCGTAATGAATACTATGATTTGAAACATAAAAAGGAGCATTTATGGTTTGACGAAGAATTTTCGGCTGGATTGGACACCTTGGGAATTTGAATCCTTGGTTGAGCCCCACCCATCACAACCATACCCCCAGAGAGGTCTTGTTAATTAAAAGTTTATTTTCAATGTCTAATTATAAGTTTGATCGAGAGTCATGTAGTCTTTAATAATTTTGTTAGTTTGTTTCTTGTCTAAGTCAGTCGTTTTTCCATGAAAAGTCCAAGATAACGCACAAGGCCGGTGGTAAACGAGTTCCATTTATACTCATTGGAGGACATCCATTTTCCCAACACAAAATTTATCTGTACGCTTTTCGTTAGGTTTATTTTCATTCTCCATTATCAACCTTCAATTCAGGTGTCACTGTAAGTGTTCGAGTTTTTATAGATGGGTTAAAATAACGCGCAAGAATCGTTGAATCAAGATATGTTCAAATATTAACGTGTATAGGAATATCTGCAGTGTATATTGAAAATAGAAATGGGCCAAGTATGCTTCCCTGAGGAACCCCCGCCTTAAGAGTTATAAACAGAAGGAAATTTATTTGTTTTCATTCTGTAAATAAAACACTATTATTTATCTAATAATCACAAGGTTAATCATTAAAATATTTAATGATGCGTGATGAACCGTGGTTCGAACCCAGCGGTCCCGCATTTGAACCCAGCATACTAGAAATGGACTTTTCAAAACCCCCTAGGATTGATATGACCTCTGTTGCGAACCCTCGTAAAAAAATAGATTTCGAGATAATTTAATGGTCTTCTGGCGTAT